GAATTTTTTATATTTTCAATTTAGTTATCTTTTTTTGCAAACTGTAATCAATAAAAGATTTGCTAGTTTCACATCAAATCAAATTTCAGCTTCTAACAGAATCTTCAATATCATTCCAATCATTTATGTCGTTCTTAATTTCGTAACTCGTGAATATTTTTTTATCTCATTAATTAATTACTACCATCATCAAATAAATAAAAAACGCTTAGGAAGTCATTCACTGAGAAATATTTTCTTGTTGCAAATATCGAGATTTTTCTGAATTAAGTTGGCATTTATTGACGTAAGATACGAAAGCAGACGAAATGCGATACGAAAAAAAAGCTTTTTAAAATTACTTCATAATTCTTTTCAACAATACTTAAACTGAATATATGATGATTTTTTTGTTGATATTAAAAAATACGTTGAAATTATTCAAAATAAGATTTCATTGAAATATTTTCATGATGTTAATATCAATAAAGTTCTAGTGAAATAAACTGATATAACTTCATTAGTGACACAAGATCGGAATATCTATTGAAAAACAATTTGGAAAATTTATTTCATTAAGAAAAGAAAGTATAATAAAATAAACCGAAGTTGATTTAAATGAAGTGATAATTTAACCGAAGCATTGAAAACTAAATGATTAAAATCAAAAATCATTAAATAAAATATTCTTTACCAGATTTAATTGTCCAAATTACTTTGAATCATGCAAGAAAACTGCACAGAGAAACAATTATTGAAATATTTTATTGATTTTTAATTCTTAAAATATTTCATTAAATCGCTAACATCGGTAATATTACGCTTGATTAAGACAAGCTATCAAATGAGGTTTGCTTGATATACTGGCAAATTTTACATATAAACTTAAAGGTATAATAATGTACGTACCACGTAGTCGTATACGAAAAAAACTTTGCCACAGATTTAATTCTGATTGATTTAAATTAGGAATAGAAATTAAAATTGATAATTTTGCTATAGAAAATCAAAAATTCTCCTTTTGATAGACAAAAGCAAAGTGTGCACTATTGTATTCTAAAAAACTGCAATACTCAAATAATTTTCGTAGAAGATAGCAGAAACTGATGCGCAATTATCGACGGATATATAAACAAGCCTAATAAATAATCTCGCCTTTACCTTATTATAATAGCGGCACTCGATGATATACAATAAATGATCGTTTGATGTTAATCATAAATATAAATAATTATACAAATATCATTAATGATGTCAAATTGGGAGATGGTTTCACGGTTTGTGAATTTTAATTAACAATTGTGATAAATTCAAAATTTTCTCAAATGTAGCAGCAATGAAGAAATATGTTCTGAGGTCAAGATAAGTCATTTTTTTTTACTAACTTAGAAAAGAAAAAAAATGCTAACATTAATGTAAGCGAAGTTCAAATAAACACTTCACATCATAAAATCAACTTTACAAAAAAAAAAAAATTTTTAAGTCTAAACGTAATTTAAATCTGAATGAACAACTCACAGAGTTATATTATGATATGCAATATAATTTCTCGTAGATCATAACCTGCTTCAATTTTTTACCATTAATTATTATGAAATTTAATTTTAGAAAGAAGCAATACAATGATTTCGTTCTTGAATGGAGGAAAGAGGAAAAGAGACAGAGACAGAGAGAGAGAGAGAGAGAAAGAGAGAGGAAGAAAGAAGATAAACAAAAGGACCAGAACAATTTCAAGAGGAGTTTAATTCCATGAAGCTTTATAATATCAATGGTAATTGTTGATTGTTTGTTAAAGCATTAGAAGTAATAATAATGTTTAAACCACGAGGGATAAATTTTTTCCATCTGTGGCAAACAAATATTTGTCTGCCTTTTGGTCCATTTGTTTAAGGCATTTTAAAAATGCAATTTCACTTCTATGAGTGCACATAGCTAACTATGCATTTCTAATGATTTTCAGGAAGGAAAATAGGAATGAAATTTTTTGATCAAAATTTCATTCTTTTTGAATTTATTAATCAAAGTATTTTAAAAAAATTGCAAAAAGATAGATGTTATTGTTTAATTTCATGTCAAATTTTCATTTAAAGCGTAAGTTTTATTGATTTTTAAATGATTTACGAATGAAAGAAATGAGGATGTATTTTTTGTCCCACAAGGTCTTTTCCTATAACTTCTGAATGTGATGAAATTATGCTTAAAATTCAATTTCTGAATAATTTTATTCCTGCTCGCCCAACTTAAACATTATTTATCATCTTGCAAATTGAACTATAACAAACAAATAAATGAAACTTTTACAAAAGATTGGGTAACATTTGATAAAATTTTCACTGAAAAGTATTGTAAGTTTGTTTTTGAAAAAAAAAAAAATCGGGAAGAGATATTAGAAAAGGGGTCAATATTAAGAAAATAAAATGTCATTAATGATTTATGAAAGGTCATCGATCACGTATTATCACTGCTTAAGAAAAATTTGCATAAAGATTCGACAAAAGAGGAAAATTCAAAAAGAGATATTAGAAAAAAAGACAATATTAAGAAAATAAGATGTCATTAATGATTCTCAAAAGGTCACCTATCATATATCACAACTGTATAATAAAGATCACTTTTTGCCCCTCTTAAGAGCAAGAAAAAAATAAGATGACCATTTTGCATCGCTTATTCCATACATCGTTAAAGCTTATTTTTGAAGGTCATCAACTGATAGAAGTTTGTTACTATCAATAGATAGTAAAAATTATATTTGAAACTCAAAATTAGCATAGTGGTGAATGGAAAATTTGTCTTATTGATGTTGGTTGAGATTTATGAAAAAATGCTCTTTTATTAGCTCCAATTTTTTTTTTGGAAAAATATAGGTTTATTAACTTTAATCGTAGTAATAATAACACTTAACGTATTGTCCCGTAATGGAAATGCCTACTAGAATTAATTTTATAGGCTTGAAATTCCTTTTCACTATTCAAATTGAATATAGTATTCAAATTTTATAGATTAATTAATTCAATAAAAATTCAATAATTCCATGCTAAAGAAACAGATCGCTCTTTTAGATTAAAGATAAGAATGTGAAAAGGTTATTTTATATTTTAGCAAACTCATAGCAGATCATATTCCTTCTTACTTTCATCAATTGTAGAAGGCAGTTCTGAGAACTGCTTGATTGCAAAATTAGGGCCAATTGAAGTTCAATGTTTAGATGCTTTGAATTAAATTTTCGTGTTAAAACGATTTATTTGAAATTCTAAGGTATGATATTCAAAATAATATTATAATGAAATAGAGCAAAAATTCGTTAACAATTTATCAGATAGAAAAATCGAATGACAAAAGTCATAATTTATTACAGAAAATAAGTGACAGAAAAATTATTAATTATAACAAAGAAGTTCGAAAGTATATAAGCGAATCAGTTGGATTTTTTGGATTTTTTTTTCTGCCAATTCACTGGATTTTTTTTCCGCTAATTCACTCGAAAATTATTCCTTAATTAGCAGGTGGATTTTTTCCGCCAATTTACTCGGAAATTATTCCTTAACTGCAATTAAAAATTAAACAGCGAAACAAAGCAAAAACTGACATTTTTTAAATGATTGAAATTTTAAATTATCAATTCATTTGCAAAAAAAAGCAATAATACATCAAATTCTATAGCAACCAAAATATATATCACAATATGCATTTTTTTGAAATCGGAAAATTTCGATTTCAAGAAAAAAAACTTTGCATAAATTATAGTATGGAATTTCATACAATCTATCCTGATTTCGAAAGTCAAGTATATGAGTTGAAAATGAAATTATTTCCAGAAATAGGAACAGACAATTGGTAGTAGAATGATCAATCATATCAAATCATATCGTTTGTTTAAAATAATGCCAAAATCATTTCTGGAAACCGGGAAATAAAATTGCACACATAATTTATTGGCTTTCTTGTGACTGAAGAAGAGCGTACACAAATGAGAAATACTGATATAGATAAAAATTTTACTTTTACAAAATATAATTAGGGGAGGAAATAAATCGTTATATGCAACCTTGCAATTATTTCAGAAAAACTAATATTGCTTCATTACCCGATTTCAATTTCACATTTTATAAAGCATGCGACTGAATTTTTAGTATTCAACTACTTTATGCTATTGATAGATAATAATGTTTCCTCATTTCAGGATGCAATGAGAACTGGCATTTGGCAGTGAAACAATCAAGGATATTAAAAATCATATTGTTTGTTTAAAATAACACAAAATCATAAGAAGAAAAAACTCTTTCCAAACTTTAATCGTCATTCATTTTAATCTTAATCAATCTATAATAACATCTTACATTACGATTCTCATAAGATTATAGTGATCACCAATTTGATTCAATATAGCTGTGTCATTTATCTCAGGGCTTAGAACCTAGATCTAAAACAATTTGATGCTAATACAATCTATATTCGAACAAATAAACTCCTTGGAATTAGATTAAATTTTAAGAGAGAGCCTAAGACGAAAAGCAGAACGTGAGAAAGGCCAATCCAGCTAACTTCTGACACAAAATATTTGTGAAAAATCTATAGACTTATTGTATTAGTATAAATTTGCTTCTCATAAGATTGTCTGCTATTGGTTTTTGCTTAAGATTTAAAAAAAACATGAAACAAATCTGCAAAAATCACAAGTGGCAGAAAATAGATATATCGTTAGAATCTGTTCAGTATTAATTTTTCAATCTAAATCTTGAGATAAAGTTGAAAAAATTTTTTCATGAAGAATTTTTCATACAATTCATGAATTTAAAAAATAGACAGAATAGAAACGAGAATTTGAAGAAGGATATTTCATATCACAGTTTAAAACTTTTGAGAGAATGGCGACTGCATCAGAACACCACAATTTGGATAATTTGTAAAAGACAATTAGAAAAACATTACAAAAACAAAATTTAAAAGAGAAACAAAAAATAATTCGAAGTAATCTGATAAAAGAACAAAATTTTTTGAACTTGAGAAATTGTATATGCTCTTCAGACAGCTTTTTTTTCTGCTTTCAATTTAAATTGTGGAGATGGCACTAACGCTGAAGGAGATTCGGTTCTTTGAACATTCAGGATCTCAGTATCTTCGAAACTTTCACCAAATTCATTGATGCGTGATTTGTCAACCGGGTAAAGGTATCGTTGATAGAGATAAATGACAAAAACTATATCATCTCGGAAACAAGCAACGCGATGAGATATCGGCATTGTTATAATAAATGCGAACACATCGTCTATGAAAGTATTAAATGCCTGTAATTAATTAATTCAGAGTTATGCTCCACATTTCAAAATCACAACATTTTAAAGAGTTAGCTTGGACTTAAATATGCAGACTTATCAGCAAGAATAAACTTAAAACAGCTCAAAAGTTCCTGAAAATAAATTTTTAGCTTTAATTTAAATTTGAAAGAAAATGAAAAGTCAAATATCTTTCTTATAAGTTAACTGTTGATTCGTAATACAAGCCGACAACTTCATAGAAATGCAGCAGTAAAAACAACAAAAAATAAAATTTTTAATTAAAAACTAATTTCAATACAAAACCTAAGGAGCTGAACGTAAAAGCTGGCGGCAAGATACGAATCAGTCAGGAAGAAAAGTAATATAGTATAGATGGTTCAACGAACTCCTTTAAAGTCTCGATATTTCTTATGTAACAATAAAAAGATGAAGCAATAGCACGAAGCAATAGCACTATTCGACAAAACGATTTTTATATCCTTTCTATTAAAAAGGATATTCTTTGAAAAGAGATATGAATGTCTGCCTGTTTGATTCTCAAAGCTAATAACAATTTAGCTAATAACACTCTTATCATCATCATCAACTAAATACACAAACAATTTATACATACCTTATACATAAAGGTTCTCCAAGGGAGATGAGCAACTGATTTCATACGATAATTAACAAACAACTGTGGTAACATAAATAAAAAGCCAAATGCATATACACCGTTAGCCATGCACTGAATTATCCAACTATACCATGATTTATGCGGAATATATGCCAAGCTGAAATAAGCTAAATAATTTACGTTTGAAGAGACTTTCTAATATCCAAGTTCTTAATTAAGATGTTGCCTGGAGAAAGTTTTCCATCCTCAAATTAAACAAGTTTACCATATCCAAATAGAGGACAGATCAGAAGCGATACCTATAAATGGCGCCACCTATACAAAGAGGTGTAAGTAGAAAAGTGAGATATTTCATTGCTTCTAAATCAAATGATTCTGTTTCTATTTCTGCTGCAGTGGAAGTGCCAAATCGGAAATGTGGAATACCTTTTGACCAATAAATTGAAATCTGCAATAAAAATTTAACGCACTGTATTTGTTTTCATAATTACAAAGCATTTTACCTCGAAACAACGCACATGATTCCATGACTTCATCAGTAAGTGAAAAAGGCTTATAAAATATGAATGTCATAAACATATGACATATAAATATCACAAGTAGTATGTTAATTTCATGCAATTCATTAATTTGATGTACAATTTAATTCAATCCTGGAATACTACAATACCAGCCACTTTTAAAAAATAAGTATCCATCAAGGAGTTTCCTTTTCAATTTCCAAAATGTTAAACAGTTGCAATAAAAACAATCAAGGCAGAAATGAAAACTTTTCTAGATAAAAAAGAAATATAAGAAACAATTACTTTGGCAGATTTAACTACTTTCCAGTATTCAATAATGCAGCCAATAGCTGCGGGAATTGTTACCAAAAGACTGGTCTCCTCGTCAAGAAGATATACAAATATCACTGATTGACTAAATGAACGCCATAACACAGTTCTGAAAACCAGATAACATAGTTAAAGTAATCTGATTTCACAAAAACTATTCTCTTTGGATAAATATTATGGAAGTTCTGTACAGATGAAACTCATTTATGCTTGGTATGTGGCAAACTTCAACCAAATGTTTAAAAAGACAGTATCAACCTTGTCGACAAACCGGCCATGCTTTTTCGATTTCGCCAAAATGCTATGTCATTTTTGAATGCGAGAACATCAAACAACATATGTAAAGCAGCAACAAATACTGTCATCGCCAAAAAGTAAAAATTCGTGTCCACAAATATTCCCTTCACCTATAGAGAATTCAAAATATTTGAAAGCGAATGAAATCCATGAAAAAACGACGATAAAATTACGAAGCCCTTCAAAATTCATTAAAGATCTCATAGTGAACAAACATAACGACAAATGACCTCATCAACATCCTTGTCGCTAAAACCCATTCGTTTCAGTTGATCAAGAGATGCTTGAGCAGTAATCAGTAAACGCAATTTACCAATAGATATCGGTCGGTACTGGATCTTCATCATTACGCTTTTTTGTTCCGGTTTTATCTATTTGACAAACAAATTATTATGCTATTTTACGATAACCCCTTATTTTCAAAGGAAAAGCAGGAAAAAGATACTTCCTTGTTAGTATGAATAAAGGATTTATTCCTAAAAGAAAGTTGGCTAAGGCAAAGTGGGAGAAATTCACCTGTATTAGATCTTTTGTAAGAAAACTCAATTCATCGACATAAAATATTGGCCAGTAATATGTTTGACCATCTGGAACACAAGTGGTTTAAAAAATTTTAAACATAAAGATCTTTGTGCATGAAAAAATCTTTAAACTTCTTGATTCGATAAAAATAGTACGAATACCTTGTCAATATTAATTACATAAAAGCAATATGTTTTAGCAGTGATAGCTCTCTTAAGTATCCAACAAACCAATATACTATCACTAAAAAAAACTTTGTCTAGAATGCAAAATACATCGCGATGGAATGAAAAATAAGATGCAAATCAGCAAATATTGCGAACTGACGAAAAGTTATTTAACAATAAAACTTAACTAATGGATACCTCTGTGGAAAAACTGCATGTGCTGATAGATTTCACCAGGAAGAGCATATAAATCGAATTTAGGCGATTCAGCAACAATTGTTAATGGCAGCTTGCTGCGGAAATGTGTAACCGGTATTCCTTCTTCACGTAACTAAAGACAGTAAAACTTCTATTTCTCGAGTTTTGTCAGCAATAACAAATAAAATTAAACCGTTTTCATATAGTTTTATACTTAACAGAAAGTCTTTTAAACATTTTCCTAAATTGGTTTTACACTCACAGAAGATTGCTAATAGAATGCTATTCAACGAAGAAAAATCAAATGAAACCTGATCCACAGATCTACTCGCTTCTTTACTCCTCTTCCGTTTCTCTTCAGCTTCTGTAATTAATCGAAATGTTTCTGCTTGGGGAATTTGGTATGTTGTTATACGAACTGTTTGTACTATTTGCCAAGATGCCTACAAAACAATCGCGTCTTAAATGTGAATGTTGTCATTTAAAATGCAAACTATTTAGGCAATCAAATTTTGCTGAAATTAAGTCCCTGTATTATATATTACACTAGGAAAGAGACAAATCTGTTCACCTTTGATTTCAAATCACCGATTTATTAATCGGTGCATTGAGAAGATCTTCTACACATGCAAAACTTTATCAATTTGTGGTCATTAAGCTGTATTTTTTTTGGAAATATCAAAATTATGATTTAATTTAACAATATAAATACATTTATAACAAACCTGATAGGGATCCGGATGTTTATGCTCTGCAGGTAGCAGAAAGCAATGCAAATACAATGAGCCATTGTTACGCGTATGTTCTGGGAGATCTACATGTACCTGATGTGAAACTGTTAATGAACTAACTGAAATGGAAAAATGAACACACAATAAGGAAAAAACATCTTAATAAGCTGCTGAGTTAACAGAAAGATGCAGAATTATTGAAAAGAAAGCAGACTTGCATCAGTCTACGGATTATAACTGCTATTTTCTATCATGTAATCAGGAGATTTTTAAACGTGCAGTAATCTAGATTCTTTAGCAAGATCAATACTTACTTCCCTTTCCATGACTTCATCGATATCCAGAAATGCTATCTGATGAATGATTTTTCCATAATTCTCTTTGGAACGAGAATTCACAGATGCATAAATACGAAATTGCAATGGCGGCCATTCGGCACTCACTGCATCCCTTTGAATCATTGGCTGAAATGAATTAAGTCCAAAAATTACTATAATTTCTTTCTATTCTATTTAAAAGTCGTGCCAATTTTTTTTCCTGTCCAATCCGTTCGGAAATAAAACTTATAATTTCGAGCAGCCAGCAAATGAACAAACTAATGATGGTAGTAGTAACACAATGAACGTAGAAGTTCTAAGTGCTTCAAATATAAAATATTGTTGAAATTGAATGGTATTAACTAAATTCCTAACCAGTTATCGGATGAATGAGATTTCACCATTTTACCTGCCATATCGAATTTTTCACTGGCAAGAAAAATTCAAATGTTAGAAATTTTCATTTAGAAAGTTTTTTCGTTGGCAAAGAAAAAAAAAGGCAGTGATACTAACAATTAAACATTCTTTGTCATCTTGATTTTGCCGACATAACTGTGGATGATATAACGTATAGATTGAATGCATCGAATGGGCAATATATATTATAAAGATTGTTGTGGCCACATTCGTTAAAGATAGCTTGAACATAATTCAAGCTACTTTTTTGTTAATTAAGCAAACCTGAAATTCATAAAATTTAAATTTAGTGAAAAGTGATGCTGTTTTTGCATGGAAAAATTACTTATAAAGAGTTTCTTTAGTCGAACAAAAATACATAAATTATATTTCCATTGATACCATTACTCTTCTTTCAAAATGTACTACATGCGGTGGGATTAAAAATGGAAATTTTTGAACCTTAATTCACAATAGTCCGTTCAGAGAAGAGAGCAAAAGAATTAAATTTCTAAGAATTACAATACGAGCGACCGAGATTCTCGAGAATTATAACGCAAGCGAATGAAAAACTGACAGGCATTTGAAATAACGTCACAAAGGTACCCAATCACCCAATCAATTTCATTCAAATTGCAATTTTTTGAAAATAAAGCAACAGTAAAATGCAAAAGACATAAGCCACAATTGCCTGATTTATTGTCAACAGGACATCATCCACAGATTTGTACACGCTATGCCGAAAATCAAGCAATGATAGGAAATGGAACATTTCTACTGACTTATGCAATCAATTTCTAGCAGCATCATCTCATCAAAATCTTTTTCCCTCCATAATTTTCCACTGAAATTCATCGAAGCCCAGTATTTATGATATTTTAAACTAAGGTTATGATGTATACGATCAAGAAGGTATGCCAAAATATAAGAAGTTGAAGCTACCGGTTTTCTTGACTAAGTGACTAGTAACTAACGCAGTTTCCTGCTTTCAAAATCACTTTCAAAGTTTGAGTTGATTGATAATAATCAGTTCGTGAAAAAAACATCATGAATTTGATGAAAAGACCAATAAAGAATACTCGTATCTCTCCGTAACACGATAACAGGTAATACTTGTTAAAACCCTCAATCAAAGAGTTAAAGTGGTACAAATTTCTTTATCATCAATGATATGCATCATAAAGATGTATTTTCTAATACATAACGATGTATTAGAAAAGAGACAAATTTTAAGCATCAAAATTATGGCAACTAATGTGAAAATCAGTATGGATATTTCATTGAGAATATAAAATGTGAAAATCTGAGATTAATGTGCACAGACCTTCATATTAAACAAAATAACTATTCTGACGGGTGTAATCACTTCGTATCGCACTATCCTTTTGATATGGTCAAATTTTTGACATAATAAAATTATTTTTAAATATTTGTTTCAAAATTCAGCAATCTTAAGTATGAAACAATAACACTAGTATAATTGGAATGGTAGAACAGCAATTACTATATGTCTAAAGAGCTGTATTTGATGAAATCGATAGCTACAGTTAAAAATGAACAAATGGCACTTATAATACTAGAATAATTTGAACAAATAGTAAACAAGCGTAAAACAAAAGAATGAATGTATAAACAAATTCACAAAAAGAAACGCAAATAACAACACATCATAATTCGCCAAGATTTTTCAACTGAAGGGGAAGGATTTCTGGCTGTAAAGCAATATCCTTGAAATGAAAATTAAATATGAAGTTAGCCTTATTAGGAAAGACTCAAGGTCGTGTAATTTGGAACAAAATAAGAAATTATGGAGCACATGCATCAATTTGTTATAGAGTAAAACTGCAAAATTTACGAACTACTTGCACTTCGGCTAAAGATCTGAGCACTTTGAAATATTTGAAAGACAACGATTGATAAAAAACCGATTTTTCATTAAAAAGTAATTCTTTCCACTAGAGCACGGTTTAAAAAACGATGTGATGGTGCTACCGGATGCATTTTCTGAATCATTCCTGAAATCAAAAACAAATCCGTAATTTTTCAACACTCACTTTTTTCCAAACACTCCATAAAATGTTTACCCTTGCTAATTTCTAGAAGAGAAAGTTGTCCGATTATAATCATACCGAATAACTGTAAAATTTTCATTACATTTTTAAAATTTCTCGCCAATTTGAACATTCATAATGGAATGTCACTATAAAAAATATTTTCAAGATTTAAAACTAAGGCAAGAATGTACTGAAATAGTATTTACCATATACATTTCACTGCTTTCTCATGCAACAGAACTTCGGCTGTCTTCCAGCTGAATCGTACTAAATTGGGATATCCGAACACTTGATCAATTGCTTCCAGTAAAAAATTCTTCGTGTTCGGATCTAAATAAAAATCATTCACGACTGTGAATGGAATGAGCTATTAATCAGAGCATGCGACACAAAGATTATACCTCCAGGATAACCACTTCCATATCCATTCGGCGGTATATTGACAACGCCCTCTGGAAACGTCCAATTTTTTAAAGCTCTGTCACGTTTGACCTAAACTTAGAATAATCAGAAATAATTTAGTCGAAAAAAAAAACCAGCCGTTAAAAAAATCAGTCAATGTATGTCAAATACTATTACAAATCAAAATCTTATTTGCATTTTAAAATTTATTAAAAATTTGTTAATAACCTGAACAAATTTTGCGATAACGTAAAATAACGAAATAAAGCAAATCATCAATTAAAAAAATGGGTACCACACAAAACAGTTATCAGCAAATTTCTAATAAATTTTAAAATATAAAATAATAAAAGTCTGAAATAATTTTAAGTTATATTATTAATCAGTAAAACAAATTTGAGCTAAACTAAAATCCAAATTATTGAGATCGGACAAAAAGATTACTTTTGCAATGATTGAAGCGGCACCAACAATTGGAAATTTCGCATCTGCTTTCTCCGATACAATAATTCGCATGTCTGGAAATTTTTTCTGCAACATGGCCTGATACGGATCCTTCGGTCCCACTGTATCGACGTAAACCTAAAAAACGCTAATCCAAAAAATATGGAATATATTTATTTGCTCAAATATTATATTAGAAAAACACGCTATAATGACTCTCTTATGTTTCAATTACAAGCTCTCGACAGCTTTTTATGAAAAGCAGCTACAACTTGCTATTCATTTCAATAAATGAAATGTTCTAACTAACTTCTACAATATTTATATTACTGTCGACTGCTAGTTTTAACAATTCTGTTGCACAATCGTGTGACAATTTATTCAATGAACATTTCTTCCGACTTAACATGGCAGCACTAATCATCTGCGCCGATAATGACCGACATGCATATGCAAACGCCTGAAATAATAACACTCATTAAAATGAAGAAGCGTACTGTCTTAAATCTGGGAGTATTAGGAAAAAGCAGACACTTCTTCTTACTGTTTTATACAAGGTTTTTATCAATCTTAAAAAGTATTTCAGTCTTTTTCTGTATGGAATATTTTTGCAAACTAAATCTCACCTTTAAATATTACTTCATTGAACTTAGAAATTTCGCTTTACTCCTCTACACAGAAGGCACTTTGTGAACGAAAAAGAAAAGTAATATCAATACAAGAAAGAGATGAAATGAAGCTAAGTGTAACCTCTGACATATTGTCTCCTTTCAACCTCTCGAAAATCTCCTCACGCTTTGTTTCAGTGAGAACCTTTGAATCGTTAACCCCTGTGGTTTTAAAAATAGTTTGCTAAATCAAACAAATTGAAATTGATCATAAAATGTTAGGGAAAGGTTATTTCGAAGACCTATATATGCAACACAGAAAGTCTGCAATAATTTTCAAGTGGAGAAATTATTAAGCTAAACGAGTCCTGATAGTTATTATTATTATAAAGCAGAAGTGCTACCAAACTGAAAGGTCGTGCACAGAAAAGACTTCGTATAAGGAACGCCGTGAATACAACATATAAAAACAAACAAACCCATCTCGACCAGCACATTTTTATTATTTAGCAATGCAATAGCGCATGCATAGACCATCGGCCCTAGAACTGGTCCACGTCCAGCTTCATCAATGCCCATTACACAGGGCAAACTTGAACCGAAATCTTTGAAGTTATCACTGAATTCCACAACTGCCTCGACAGCTGTCGATTTAATCTGCGTGGTGGACATCTTTCCAAAAATATCCTTGATAGCGGTAAAATCTATAAATCTACTGAATCTGGAGGCAATGACTAAATTAGACTGCTCGCACAATAATGCATATAAATAATGCAGTGTAATAGATAACCACTGCTAACTGAAATTTTACACGTTTAACAATACCTTTAGGTCAGGGATATTAAATCTCATTCATCGATGTTGAACAATTTGCAGTTACTTTTTCAGCTCTACAACTTGGAAATATCTGCAATTGCCAAATTAAATATGTGAAATATTCTGGCAATTTCAACATTGTTTCAGACAAAAACTATCTTCCAGAGATCCAAAATTGTAAAACAACTGAAAAAATGAGTTATTCGCTACTGCGTATTTTTTAAAAAGTCAAAATCGATAATGAATAGAAGCAAAAAAGATAAAATGATCAAACAGAATATCAAGATGACTGACAATAACTTAAAACGATATAAAGCATAAATAAAAATAAAAACAATTTATTAACAGTGTAAAGAACGACATACAAAATTGCACAACTCGAATGAAGCATATTTACAAATATTTCTTTTTTTTCCAGATTCCATCCAGACGAATTTAACTTTTAACGAAAAAAAATTCATCCATCTTAAACAGCTAAATATTCATATCAAGCGTTCACCCCCGACTTTGCACCTTAGCTCCTCATTTTCATGGCAAGCCTGTAAAAATAGGAAATCAGCTGGACAAATGAACGACAATCATCAAAGCTACTAATAATAGAGGAACGAAATTTTTGGTAGGAAAAACTCTGGGAAAACAAAAAAGCACGAAAAACTTCAAATGTTATCCATTATTTTCAAACTTCATACTGCAAACAATACTTTAATCTTTCGATATTTTTCTTCATCTCAGCTTTAAGCAGATAGAATGCAGCTGCAATAAAGAGTTATAGAACTGCAAGATGAAACTAACATTTTTGAAATCATCAACTGTTTTGTAATATAAACGTTCTTTTTCCAACAAATACTGATATTCGCCATATAACTTATCCCTTCTTGATTGAAGTTCTTTTTGCTTCGTTGATACCTATAGAGATATCAAATACAGATAAAAAAACGAAATTAATGAAACTATAAAATGAACAGTCTCAGAATCAGTCTATTTTGAATACAAGAAGTCTTTTCAACATTCTTTTTGCAAAAGCTTTCTTTATAGAGCATCATTTTTGGTTATAAGATTTTAAAGAATACAAACAGGCAAAAATCCAAATATGAAATCAATCCAAATAGTGATAGCAAACCTTATCAAGAGAAACATCAACACCTTTCAATATTTTCTGCAGATTTTCAATAAATGAGTCTTTGTAACTTTGTTTCGAAGTCCTATAATGTCAAAATTAGTTTACTAAAATTATTTACGATGATGCTTTCTTGATTCATTTTGAATGCAAAATTTAGAAAAAAGCAAATAAATAAAAAATTACAAGTCTTGGACGTCATCGATATTGTTCAACATGTCAACTTCTTTTTTCAGGAATGTTTTGATATCAACCAAAGTATTATGTAAAATGTAAAATTGCTTCGTTTCTCGATGTTTACTTGCCACTGTAATTTCCAAAATCTTTCGTAAAAAATTTTAAAAAAATCATAAAAATTTGCTCAGCACAGAAATATATGCTAAATCTAATTCAAACCCATTTCTTGAAAATAACTTTCGAAACTCCCATCTTTGTTCAAACCACAAACTTTGATTATAAAGCTCAATAATTCTTCGCTGATATTGACTGATTTCAATTTGTGCAGGAACATTATCGAGTATGCGTTGCTGTGCCGCAATCTGCCGATTTAAATCTGCTAACTCCAACCGAATATTTGTCAGATGCTGCTCCGTTTCCAAGCTTACATTTCTTACTGAATCCCCAGTATCCTTTAATTCAAAAAAATACGCTACTTTTTGACTTTAGCAAATAATACAGTAGTTGAAAATGTGCACAAACGGAATTGCTAATTTAATAAGAAACACCATAAATTTAAATTTATGCGGTGTTATTTGTCGAAAATTTCAAAAAGCTTTACTTCTTCCGCCAGAGATCCTACTGTTTTCAATTGTTCAAGGACTTCGTCCAATTCCCGTAGTTCATTTCGACAGTTCGCTTTGAAATCCGCTTCTCGCTTATAAATCTCGTCATGTTCAATTATTAGATGTTTCAACCTTTCAACGGTTCTGAAAAGAAATCTATATAAGAATTAAAAAGGATTTTGAATAATTCAGAAATGCGACATAAAGAAAAAAAACCTGAAAAAATGATATAGTTGATAATTACAACAAATTTGAAAATTTGCATCTTACTCTGCATCACTGTTATTAACCAGTTGTTCAAATTTCGCAATTCTTTCGTCGATTTCATCCATTTCTTGTAATTGGACCTTTTTTCTCTGTTGGAGATTTGCTAAAGAATCGTCCAAAAGCTTTTCTTCTTCTTTGAGCTATAAAAAAATAATCATTTATTATACATCCTATTTCATTAACCTGATCTCCCTGCTGGAAATTGATAAAATTAAAACTAACTCTCATTAATTCTTTTTCTGCTGCCAACGTGCTTCGCTGATATCGCTGGACAAAACATGCCTAAAAATATATTTTGTGGTAAGAGTTTAAATGAGAGATATAAGTTAATGTACAAATATAGTGAGGCTTATAAATCACCTCCTCCTTTAGCCGATCGGCATCAAAATCCGATACATCAATGATTTTTGCAAGTGTTTTCGACGAGAGACGTTGCTTTGTTGGCTGAATTTCCGTCTCTGACAACTGCATCAAAAGTTGATTGACCTTCTGCAACTTCACACCATTAGCTTTTGTTCTGTTAGGTAGATAGAGAACAGTCATTCGGCCATATTAACACACTACAGACTTTCACAGATTTATTATGCTAAGATGCTAATGAAGAATCTAATCCCATAAAAGGATTTGTTTTCCTGACATTTTTTAAAAAGTGACATATTTCAATATGCATATTAACTTTCAGTAAATGATTCAACATGTTAACAAACTAAAAATATATATGTTTTAATACATAAATATATATGTTTACAAGTAATCATTTACTTGATCACTTAATCTTTTACTTAATCATTTAAGTAAAAAATCTTACCACATTTTTATCTTCTTTATCGTTTCCAAACCATTTAGCGCTTTCCTGAACTGCTCCATCACAAACATCTCCCCTGCATTAGTTCATGTATTAATGACAGTCATTAAAAAAACTATTTTATGTTCCACCACATTGATTTATCAGTTTCAAAATGATTTAACGAACCATCCGTATTCCAGTAAAGTACAACGAATACTGGTTGGCAAATCTGATGGTTTGACATCGCCCTTCTGTTTGTAAATGCGTTGGGGCGGACATTTCGCTTTCACACTGAGGAAATTGTTTAAAAAAATACTTTTTTGTTTATCCGTGCACTTATCCTGGAAGTTATACATCAATAAACAACAATTAAACTGCTTGAAAATCATTTTAAAAAAGTATTTTCAAAGAAAAAAAAAACAACTCAGAAACAACCTTTGAAAAACAAAATCGCTGATTGAATTGATATACAGCATGATTGCGCACACTATCACCATACTGCTCTTTTGCACGAACAGCTTCTCTAACAAGCCACTGAATAATTATGCCTAGTTAATTCACCAGAAAATTAAACCTTCATTTATTATCGGAATAATGACTTTTAGTTTACTCTTAAATAACCGCTAATGATTTTTATTTTGAATTTTGATTTACCTTGATACTGTCCAATACAATCACTGCTGAATGCGTCACTATTTTATGACTCACTTACGAAAGCAAAGTGAAATCTACCTGAACAACAGGAAAGATGTGGATACAGTCAAGGCCTTGGATTTGATATGGTTCAATAGTATAGGGACATTTCAATTGAGCTAACACTTCCACTACTTTTTCAGTTAATGCTCTGAAAGAAGCTTAAATTTAAGAGCCGCCAATCTTATTCACATGTACATTTTCTTAATAAAAATTTTCTTAATAAATGTTCTAGAATTTTTAAAAATTTATGATTTTCACTTCATCATAATAAAAGAGACTGGAAGGTAAGAAAATGTAATCATAGCTCCAAGATCTCTTTCACATAGTAAATGATCTCAAAATACTAACATCTTTTGACCAATGGTAGCATTTTCAGAGTAAAACAGATCGACATCAACTGCATAGTTGCATGACGTTATACACCACACTATTCCACCGACCATCTGAAATTTCAATCTTTTCAGAGATCAATTACTTCCATTACGTCCGGAAAATTCGGATTAAAAAATTCTAATAGTTTCGAAATACAAAACGCTTCAATTCTTTAATTCAGTTAAGTACAGTAATCAAAAATTTCAAAACTGATTCTTTAAACAGCAAATTTATCGATTTCATAGATTTATAGAAAGTATTGATTTTATTAAGGCAACTATGAAATCAATGAAAGATCAACTGGCTACTAAATTTCTGAAATTTTCACGATTGGAAACTTCAAAAAAGAACCAGTTGAAATAAATGCCAAATATGGTCTTTGAACAGCATAAAACGGTTTTAAGAAATTTGGAAGCCACTACAAATGCTTTTGTATTTGATGAAAACCTATTTAGCGTACATTAAAAGATGATTTTTTCCAAACTTCGAAGTGATTTTAAAATGTAATGCTAAAAAATCAAATTTCGCAAACCCTATCGAAATAAGGAATTGATTTGATACGGGCTCGAAAATATCCTGCAGCAACGAGTAAGTCGATGATATCTTGCAACTTTAACAGTTGTTCTTCATCTTCACGTATGTCAAACTGCAATTTAGATCATGTTTGAGTGATTAAGCACTGGAATTTTTTTTAAAGAGCTATTTATCATAGGGCAAATTTTAAATACGGAGAGACAAGCTGAATGTCATTTTTCCAGTTTATATCTCCGTTTCAAATATTTCAATTTTATTTCTTTCAAGATTATGATTCAGTTTTGTATCTACACTTGCATAAATTGAAAATACAAAAATAACCAAGCCATAAATGATTCGGATTAAATAGGAAAGTGGAAATAATACACATACTTCTTTAACAGACGTCATAGTTGAAAACCATTGACTTTCGCAGCGCACAGCGTTGTAAATTTTGCATTAAAAAAAATGTAAAATCTTAAATACGCTTAAATTATGAACTGTCACCACATTACTCTAACATACATCATTGTTGAAAAGCACTTGAAAGAATTGCCGAATGCGAACGGATCGTCACCACTGTAAACAACACCATGCAAAACAATCCAACAAGTAAGTCACAAAATCCCATTTAAAATTAATCTCTTCCCTTGAATTCAGCCCCACAAGAGTAAAGAGGCATCTTATTTATGAGCACAGAAAAAGAGAGAGAAATAGAGAGAGACGCAGAGGCAGGGAGAGAGAGAGAGACAGGTAACACATTCATTAACGAACCATTTCCACCTCATCACTTTTAACGCGGTCCTTTCTTTTCACATCATCGCCGAATACTACCATTACTTTGTAAATGAAAAGGTTTGGGGTGTTTGAGATGTTAGTTCATTTGGTCAAGATAAATAGTCCAATGGATGGAGGTGCCAATGAACTTGGCTTCACTTGTCAATCATAAAAAAAGTAGATTGTTAATGTTAATGATAATATGGTACGAGAAATTATATAGGACCCTTGTAAGCTTTCTTTTTATACTGTTGTTTGTAAAAGTGTAGACACTGAATTCCAGGAATATCAGTATGTTTGGGTTAGTTCTATGTATTTAAAATGAATAATTATCCATTGATAATATCAACAATCAAAAATTGGACAAAATTAAAAATTCATTAGAAATTCAATTAATTTTTGATAACTACAATATGAATGAAATGACAATTAAATATGTATGGAAGAGAAGGCATAAATAATTATGCTAAGCATGCGGCGCAATATCGCTCAAATTTCTGATTGACAGCAAATGAAGTTTAAAATGTTGACGTTGTCATTATTTACTCCATTTTATTGTTAGAGAAGTATAAAATAAAATGATTTAACATCTGCTCAATGCATTGCTCATTTCAAAAAATGATTTGCAAATAAGGAGGAGGAATAAAAGATGATGAAATAAATTGATGGATTATTTTTATTCATTAAAAAATATCTACTTCTAAACCTAAATGTGAATTTGCATTGGAAGTAAATATAATCATATTATAATTTGATATCATAATATCACGTTATCATAATTTGCAAAATGATGGATAATATTTATTCATTTTTCAATCTTTTCGCATATTTTAGCTTATTTCTAAGAAATTGGTAATAAATGTAAAAGATTGATTAGGAAATAAAATGAGAAGTTCTGATAATCATCCCCTTTTTTATCATGCACATATTGATTGTTAATTTATAATTACTACTTTTTTTTTTTATTGTGATCTTCCAGTCACTTTAGTCATCGATAGCATCATCAAGAGATGACAATGAATGTGAGATGAAATGGTCAGATCAAAGATTAAATGTGTGGATTGTCAAGTGGTAATTTAGAAGTTTCCTTCAAGCCCAGTTAAGCTAAACCGTTCCAAACAGTTTATCACATTTTGCTAGTGCTGGCATTTAAAAATAGAATTAATTCCAAAAGAATGTTCATTTAACATTGTAATTTTTTCAGAAAATTTGCAACGAATAACGAAACTAATTGTTAAATCGATGATAGCAGTAATACTATAATAGGAAATTTTAATTTTCTAATTCAAAATTTGTAGTGGTAGCAATTTAATCGCTACATGAATGTTAGTGGTAATTATATTTGCAGATGTTGAAAAGTTAATTAAAATTTAGATTAGTATTTATTACATCTATTTAATATGTCACATCAACTATCAATTTTGATACAATTTTTGATCGCTTAACATATCGAATGTGGTGCGTAGTTGGAAAGAGAATGATGCAATATTTATCAAATCATTCTAGAATTGTTTGCCTATTTACTCTTAGCCTAAACTTTTATATCCCTATCTAAGACTCATAACTATTGTTATGATTATGACTATGTTATCTTTTATAAAATGGTTTTGTTATCAAAATATGAAACATTTTCTGATTGTTTTAATTTTTTAATTAATTTGTTTAAGAACTGTTTTTTTGTCTTACAATTTTTCATCCCACCATATCCAATCATTCTTGTAATAAAATTTCGTGTTCAACACTAAAACTTATTTAATTCAAATTAGAATGCTTCTCTTTTTTTATCGCTTTTCATTTTCACATATTTCTTTTATTTTTCTCTGAGCTGTTTGGAATTTCCTATTTGTTAAGTGTATTAGTTGCACATTGCCGTCATAAGAAGTATTAATTGTTCAATAATTTCTACTTGGAATTCTTTTCAAAAAAGTTTATGTTTCAATTCGTTTCGTCAAAGTATCCGTTCTTTATTATAAAATATATCAATTATTCAGAAATTCTCAAATCATTTACTATTCTTTTATACTACGACAAGTATACAGGCTATGAAAATTTTTAGGCTGACATATTTCTTCTTATTTTATCAAAATTTCTATAAACTTAATTCGTTACACTTAATTTATCTATTCACTATTCGTCTTTTTTTTTTTGAAACAAATAATCTTCTTTTTTTGAAACTGTGATCCTCATGATAAAAAAACTTTTTTTTCAAATCAATCTTTTTACTCTAATTCATTGTGTCTTTTGTTTTTCAAAACAACCATTTTTTTGTGGTAATTAATTGTTTTTAGAAAACCATCGATGTCAAATATCAATTTTTCATCTCTGCAATTTTTTGAATTTTCATTAAAAAGACAAATTCTTTGTCCAATTTCTTTTTTATATTTTTTTAAATGACAGTTTCCAGTTAATGTTAGCATTTTATCGGAGATCATAGTATTTTCTTCTTTCGAGAGGTCAAGCGGAGGAAAATATCATAAAGATAGGTAATAATGTTTTAAATAACCATTTCATATTTCCATCAATAATAATTAATGAAAATTTCAGTATGTCCCATAATGATTGTTCACCGAGAGAAAAAATAAATGGAGAAAATAATATAATTGCTTTAATTCATCGTTTCTTAATAACTTATTTGAACCAATTGCACAATTAAGGATACAAATCTAAATCTACTCATTCGTCGAGCAGAATTGTTGACTATTTGAACATAAGTATAAGTGAAGGTGAAATTTCATAAGCATTAAAATTGCTACAATCACTGTTTTGATTAACTCAGTTATCAAAATTTTTCGCACCCTTTCAAATTTCTATTATTGCGTCACTCATATGGCCTAAAATGTTTTGAATATTTGAGTTAGATTTCATTCATTTTACAAACTTAGGAAGTTTAGTTGATTAGCTTTGAAAATCATCCGGTTCCACTTCGTCTTCCTTTTCTCGCGAAATATTAACGAAACCAACGAAGTGAATAGAATTCACTCACCACAATTCAATTGTTCAAATAGAAGACTAAAATTAACTGCTTCTTCTTTGAAATACCCTAAAACGCTATCCAAAATAAGACATTTCAACCAGACCTTTCCCGAAAAT